AGTGGTGATAGCGGGCATCCTTGTCTAGTTCCTGTTCTCAAGAGGAATGGTTTCAGTCTCTCTCCATTGAGGGTAATATTGGCTGTTGGTTTTGAGCAAATGTGGTTTTGAACTTAGTTTTCTATCATGCTAAAAAACAGTCTCTAGGAGGCACAAATGTTTTGCACTCAACTACTAACCTAATAGTTGGCAGTTCAAACCCACCCAGCAGCATGTAGAAGAAAGGATTGTTGATCTGCTTCCATAAAGATTACAGCTAAGAAAACCCCATGGGGTACCTTTAGTCTGTAACGCATGAGTCAGAATCAACTTGACAACAGGTTTGAGTTTTTTGGTTTTACTAAAAAAGTTAAGCTGTCATAATTGACCCATGACTTCATCATATATGCAGCTAATGTCACAGTTTATTAGACTTTTGGACAACTACATGTTTGCCCTTCCTGGGGAGTGGGTATGATGTGTAGTGACGTGTGTGGAACGTTTTACCCGGGGAAGAACACTGTGATGTGCCTGGTGCTCCCCTTGCCCCACACCCGCACTCCCCTCCTAACTAACGCTGACCTAGGGTGGGGAAAGGAGGAGACTGAGCTGGGACCAGCAACTTGGGGATGAAGGCACCCTCCCCAGGACTGCACCCAGCCTATAAACTCACCCCAGTCACCCAGCCAGTGGAGAATTTCATACAGGTGCTTCTCTTTAGTCTTAGCATCTTTGGAGAAAGAGGCAATTTTCTCTAGCAAGATGAATCTGTTCTTGCCCTTTTGCTCCGTCTGGTGGGATTTTGCCTTTTCTTTTAAATCATGTCCTAATTCTTCCTGGAAGCGGTTGATGACACAGTTGACATTGTCCAAGATGTATGAGAGCTGAGTAGAAATGTCCTATATGGGAAGCAGCAGATTGTAGTGTTTAGGAGTGTGATGAATCAGATGCCACCTGCTAGAGGTGTGCCCTTAGACAAGTCACTTAGCCTCTTTGTGCCTTTTATTTGTAAAGTAAGGACCATTATAGCACCTGTGTTACAGAATTTTTATAAGGATTATGTGGATTATTATTTCCAAAGAACTTAGAACACTGCCTGGCATATAAGGTGGTGTTACGATGATGATGATGATAATGATTAACATTTTTATTTTTAAAAATGACCAGGTCAGGAAAGGAGATAAATATTAAAAATCTACAGCAAGCATTTCTTCAGAACTTCAGAACTTGCTAGCAACTTCTGGGCAGAATATTGGGAAAATGAGAACCCAAGAAACCCTCAGGATCAGAAGCTTGAATGAAAAAGGCAGTAGAGGTTTATGTATGGGGTGCTTCTAGCCTTCAGCCATTCCATTGGCCCCTCTGAGGTTCCAGGGCTTGGCTTGGGGAAGCCCAGACAGGTTGCCAAGAACAGACCCCAAATCAAGAGCTCTGGTTCCCTCCCCTTCCCCTACTAGGAACAACCCTAATGTGCCTCAGGCTGTCCTGAAGCTTCTTGCCCCCTTCCCTGGATCCTTGCCCCTTCCTGTGTTCTGTTCCCTTCCTGGTCCCAGCTCTGTCCCAGCAGTTGGTTTGACTCTAGCTTAGCTCTGAAGAGGCCGAGTCTAGAAGGAGAATATTTTGTACTAATCTGTCTGCAAACCCAGGTTGCCAAGTGTCCCAGGACCCCAGCAGGCCCAAAGCTGGAATCTTGCCTGAACCCGGGATCACTCCTCATCCTGCACATCAGACCCCAATAGAAAGGTGCTTCCCTCATCTCAGGAGCTACCTCCTGCGCCCGAGTCAGCTGGGCAGCCTCAATCCTCGAGATGATGGCTTTCACCGACGCAGGGGTCACTAACTGCGGGGGGTCGTCCTTCTCCATCTTGGATCACTCTGGCAGTCACAGAGATCCCCTGTGTCTCGGATGGGTGCACAAGCCTGGACACACGATGTTGGCTGCTTGAGGTTAGGGCCCCCAAGGTGGCTGCTGGGCACCCTCTGCCCAGCCACAGCTCCTCTTATAACTGCCAGACACCGGGTTCCAACTGACCCTCCTTTCCCCAGTGACATCACTTGTTGAGTTAAAAGAATGACTTCCTGTTCACTATGTCACTAGCTTTTTATCTGCCTCCTAATGTACATTAACCTGACTTAACTTTTTTAAAAAATCATTAAATGTTATTCTCCCAAATTAACATTAATGACTAAAAGTAAGAAAAAGCAATTAGAAGTTATTTTCCCAAAGATAACTTATTGTTTAAAAGTGTTTGTTTGTTTTCCCTCTTTAATTAGAGCCAATAAATAACTAAATGGGAATATGCTTGCATTTTGCACCAGGGATCAAGGCTCAAAATCAACACTTTAACTTACTGAAAGTGATAATCATAGTAAAACATGTTAAAACAAATGTTTTAAATGGACATCACTATGCCCAGGTCCTAGAACCATGCCTGGCACATAGTAGGTGCTTGAATAATTTATTTTAGAAGGATCAGCACAAGGCTAGTCTCTATGAAGTTGTAGTTAAAGATATCCCAAATGTCCAACTTTTCCAAACTGCTCTACCATTCCATCATCTCTAACATCAGCTCCTCCTCTGCTCACTACTTTCCCTCCCATCTTAGGATTTCATATTTCACTGTAACATGTCAAAGAACTCACAAACTGACAAGGAAATGGCTCATGCAGTGGTGGAGGTTGGCAAGTCCCAAATCCATGGGTCAGGCATCCATCTGGAGGATTCTCCTCACTTACATGGTTGCAAGATCTGATGGACCCAAATTGGCAGGTGGATGACTGGCTGCTGTCTCAGGTTCCAAGAACTGGGGGTAAGATGATGATGAACCACATGCTGGATCCAGAGCAAGAGAGCAAACTTTGCCAGAGCATTCACACATAAACCCTCGAGGAAACTAAGGGTGGTGATGTGAGTTACACCCTCTAGCAAGGTGGGATTCAAGATAAATCCCATCCTAATCCTGCCTTATCAACACAATAGAAAACTTACCCCAAAATGGGACCATAACCACAGGCATTATGTGTTGTTGCTGTTTTTAGTGCTGTCAAGTTGATTCCAACTCACAGTGACCCTATGTACAACAGAATGAAACACTGCCCTGTCTTGCATCATCCTTAAAATTCTTGCTATGCTTGAGCCCATTGTTGCAGCCACTGTGTCAATCCATCTCATTGGGGGTCTTCACCTTTTTCTCTGACCCTCTACTTTATCAGCCAAGCATGATATCCTTCTCCAGGGAATGATCCCTTCTGACAACATGACCAAAGTAGATGGGATGAAATCTGACCATTCTTGCTTTTTAATGAGCATTCTGGCTGCACTCCTTCCAGGATAGATTTGTTCATTCTTCTGCTTGTTGTTGTTGTTGTTATGTGCTGTTGAGTCGGACCTAACTCATAGTGACTCCTCCTTGGGTTTCCAAGGCAGTATCACTACGGAACTAGATTGCCCAACTTTCGGAGGAGTGGCTGGTGGGTTTGAACCATCAGCCTTCTGGTTAGCAGTCAAGTGCCTTAGGCACTATGCCACCAGATTCTTCTGCTAGTCCATGGTATTTTCAGTATTCTTTATCAACAACACAATTCAAAGGCAGCAGTTCTTCTTTGGTCTTCCTTATTGGTTGTCCCGCTTTCACACACATATGAGGCCATTGAAAATACCATGGCTTGGGTTAAGCACACCTTCGTCTTCAAAGTGACATCTTTAGATCCTGGATAGAGTGGGAGAACAATGTGGAACAAAACTCAAAATCATTGAGAAAAAAAAAAAAAAAAAGACCAGGTTTACTGTCTGATAGAGCCTGATGAAACCCCTGAGACAATGGCCCTTAGTTCCCCTTCAGGCCTGGAATTGAACTCACTCTTGTGGCTTCCAGCCAAATAACAGACAAGCATATAGGGTGAATATTTACATCAGGTAGATACACTCCTTAGAGTGATCAATCATGGGAGAATAGAAGGGCAGTATTTGCACAGGGAGATAGCTCATGGGGCAGAAATGCATAGGAAAGAAGGACACAGGGAAGAGGTAAGTAACTACAGGGAGGAAGTGGGAAGAGAGTTATTACAGTGTGGGGAATTGCAGTCAATGTCATGAAACAAAATGTGTATGAACTGCTGTATGGAAAAAGAATTTGCTTTGTAAACTTTCACCCAAATCACAATAAAAATTAAAAAAAACCCTGATAACTTTGCTCTTTAACACTTTAAAGAGGTCGTTTACAGCAGATTTGCCTAGTGCAATACAACATCTGATGTCTTGACAGCTGCTTCCATGAGTGTTGATTATGGATCCAAGTAAAATGACATCATTGACAACTTCAATCTTTTCTCCATTTATCATGATGTTGCTTACTGGTCCAGTTGTGAGGATTTTTGTTTTCTTTATGTTGAGGTATAATCCATACTGAAGACCGTAGTCTTCGATCTTCATCAGCAAGTGCTTCAAGTCCTCTTCACTTTTAGCAAGTAAGGTTGTGTCATCTGCATATCACAGGTTGTTAATGAGTCTTCCTCCAATCCCTATGCTGTATGGCTCTTCATATAGTCCAGCTTCTCAGATTATTTGCTCAGCATACAGATTGAATAAGTATGGTGAAATGACACAACCCTGATGCACTCCCTTCCTGATTTTAAACCATTCAGTTTGGCAGCCATCTTAGTATCCTAAATGACCTTGAGATATTTAAGTACCTCAGGAATATTAACCTCTCTGCCTCTGGGTAGAATTTAGCTGCCATTTTCTATACACTAGATGTATGGAGAAGTAAGTAACCTTTACTGTGCCTGCACAGAATGTGGAAATATGTGTGTACCTATGATGTTGTATGACTTCCTGTTTTATAAATGATATATAAGAGAAGCTTGAAGGAGCATTCCTTAGAGCAGTTTTGGAGGCATTAGCTCTGGCTGTTGCCTCCCTTGGCCAAAGAGATAAAAATACCTTTCTGTTCTACCTGGGTTTCATGTTTACTGGCTACAATCAGTGACGCCAAGCAGAGCCTGGATTTTACCCAGCAGCGTGTAAGGGAAAAAAAGATCACTTCAATCAGTTGCATGGAAAGTCCTGGCATATCTAACATACAAATCTCTGTCCTTCGGATTTATCTCACTTTCAATGGCAGTTATTGAGTGGACTGTGCTAACAACTAAGGGACTCTGGTGGCGTAGTGCCTAAGGCATCTGACTGCAGAAGGTTGGTGGTTCAAACCCACCAACCACTCTGTGGAAGGAAGACTGGGCAATCTACTGTAAAAATTTACCACCTCAGAAACCCAAAGAGGGTCGCTATGAGTCAGAATTGACTCAATAGCAGTGAGTTTTTTTTTTTTTTTTTTTCTGGTGCTATCAACAAATTCATCACTTTTGGAAAGCTTAATTTGGGTTGAAATAGAAAATATTTAAGGTTTGATGTTCTATAGTTCCTTCCAGTAAATTCCTATAGAAATCATTCAGAAATTCTAACTTGTAAAGTTTAACATTTTATTCTTGTTTGTAAATCATAGAAGATATGTAATAATTTATACTTTAGAATTTTTTCATCCCAGGATTTTAAAATGTTTTTTCAATTTTTTAACAAATATTTTTATAAATTCTTTGTGATGAGATAATAAAAAGAAATATTTAATGAAAAACTGAAAACAAAGGTTTTTAGTATAAAATACAAATGCTATGCTATATTTTTTCCTTTCTTATTGTTGCAAAAATATATATAACATGGTATTTGCTAATTCAACAGTTTTCAGCTGTACAATTTAGTGCTATAAATTGATCATGTTATACAACATAATCACTGCCAAATTTCCTATCACCATAAACAGAAACTCACTATTATATTGTATTTAAATATATATATATATTGTTTTGGGAAAAAATTTGCATAGCAAATTAGATTTTTTATTTAATGATTTCTATACATATTATTCGGAGCTCTGGTGGCATACCGCCTAAGGCATTTGACTACTAACCAGAAGGCTGGCGGTTCAAACCCACCAGCCACTCCTTGGAAGAAAGGATGGGCAATCTACTTCTGTCTTAGAAACCCAAGGAGGGGTCACTAGGAGTCAGATCAGACTTGACTGCAGTGCTGTTTTTTTTAATACATATTATTCAGTAACATTGGTTTCCTATGTTTCACAGTGTGTCAGCATTCTCATTAGATACTGTATTTTTTTACATATTAAGTTCTAATGAAAACTCACTAAAACTATAGAAAAGTTTTTTTTTTTTGTTTTTTTTTTTAAGCATAAGCATACAGGGACAGGGAAACAGGAGAGGAGACAAGAACAAAAGTACTTCTGGAGGATGGAAAGCAGATGGATGAGTGGTTACTGACTTAGACTAGAGAAGTTGGATCCTAAGGCAGCAGTAGCCAACCATATGGCTGATGGAATTGGTTGTGCCAGGTCAGAGATTAGCAGAGTCTCCTCTTGAGTGTCTGAAAACCTGGAGAAAGAAGACCTGAAGATGCTCACATCAGAGGTTTCTAGCTAGATCATCCTGAAGTGAAGCTCCCACTGCAAGCCCTGCCCATGTACCTAAGTCAAGAGAGCATACACATTTCCAATCAACTTTCTGATGACTCATCTTTAAATGTGAGTGGACAACCAAGAAAGACCTCTAAGAAAAAAATCTAACATGAAAGACCAAAACAGAAAAAAAGAAATATGGAGCAAACAGAGCTAATGCAGAGAGGGAAAAAAGGAAAAAAAAAAAAAAAAAAAATCTTAAAAATCAAAAACAAAACTCCCAGAACTATCATTAATAGCTTCCAAGTTATTGCAACCATGAAGCAAAAGACTCTGTAGAACCGTGGAGTCAATCCTGACTCATAGCCACTCCTCTGTGGGTTTCCAATGCGGTATC